TTTTTTTTTTTTTTTTTTTTTTTTTGTTGAAACAATCACCTATATATTTATACTAAAACAATCATTTGCCTCAGCCTCAGTGAATATTGGAGAATAATATAATATAAGTGGTTACTGAGTGGTTACACGAATAAAACTGAAATTCATAATTAACTGATAGTGTTTGAAGCGTGTTCAAGTGAAACACAGCTGCTATTCAGAAAAGGTTGAAGGGGCGAACGACAATATGCAATAGGCGAAAAGCGACAGGAGATGGTCATTCCAGGAAACAAGAATAGCTGAATGACTTCTGTTTCTGCTTCTTATTCTCGTCAATAACACAAAGGTTGTTGTTAAATACCAAATGTCAAAGTCCATTTTTTTCGTACTCTGATTGGGGAAAGGATATCACGTGAACGTAAACAAGATTTGATGCCGTTTCCCCGGCAAATGATCTCAGCGGGCAACAATATGTTGTTGACCGGTAATAACTGTACCGGAAATGATTTTCGCGGAAATGTAAGTTTTTCCAAGTTTTACTAAATCAAATAATCAAATAAATTGTTGTTTTCTTTGGCATTTGGTATAAAACAACCACTTCTTAAACCTCGGAAAAGCAGTGTGTTTTGTGGCCCCTTGACACCGTTTCGGGATCGGACCACAGAACACACTGTTTCCCTCGGTCACGGTCAATGAGTGTTAATTGTTTAAATACATTTAGTGTTGCTTGTAGTTTAGATGCATGTCCACAGTGCCTTTTGGTCGAGCAATCGCCAATCCCCATTTGACGTTTGCCTCTTCCACGTGTTTTGAAATAGTTGCATACACTAAACAAATCGAACACTAAACAAATCGATACATTTTAAGATTGGAAAAAGATACCATTTTTAACTAAAGATTGGCTCGTCCTAGAGATTTATTTTTATGCCAGATATTATTGTTTCAAACTATCCCAAAAAATGCATGTATAGTTAAGTTTTATATAGAAAAGTTGCAATATAAATATTGCTTGGCAAATATTACTTGGAAAATCGAGTAAGGACAATCTTAAAGCGTTTTTTTTTTTTTAAACCATTGCCAAAGCAGTCCAAATTCGATATTTGTTTCATTTTTTTTTTTCAAAAATGCTAACAAACTATCAGTACTGGACATAGTTATATCAATAGAGCAGTTGGAAAGTTGTCTGTTTGTCCCCACCACCCCACCATGGAATGGAATGGAATGACACCAAAATATCTAACTGAACGTGTTCAACGTTACAGACCATCTAGGCAATTACGGTTATCAACCAAGAATTTATTGAAGGTACCTAAAAGCAVTCTTAAGTCTTATGGAGATAGGTCCTTCCAAACAGCAGCACCAAAACTATGGAATGCGCTGCCCGATGACATAAGACATTGTAATCAAACACTTAATGAATTTAATACAAAGTTAAGGACATTAATTTCGAGTTCATCATCATCATCATCATTATTATTATTATTATTATTATTACACTGTATTATTATTACCACAACCACGTGTATAATTTGCATTTACTGCTAAATGTAGACGGATGGCTATATTCCTATTCGTATACCTTTTTTTGGGCACTCCTTCATAACCTCTTCTACTTGCGCTTTTGTCACTTTCCTTTTCACGCCAAAAGATTTAAAATTCTCGAGAATTTCAGCCGCATCAAAGTTATTTTTTAAAAGACATATCGTTTTAATGAGGTTATCTGGCAGCGGCATTTCATCTATACTTGGAAGAGTCCTGATAATAGCTCCAATTTCTTCATTGACTCCCTTATGGCCTTGGAGGAAAAGCAATTGTGCAATTTTAGAGACATCTTCCTCGCCATCCATGATCGCGCTCTTTACGCCCGAAACATAGTCTTCATTATTCATCAGACAAACTTTATGCACGGTACAATTCTTCTCGGCAGCCTTCTCCCAAAGCTGCTTCATATTATCTAACTAAAGCAACAAATTGATAATAACATTATTAGTAAGCATAACTTTTACAAACTATTAGGATTGACAAGGAAAGATAACATTTCAATACGATACTAGACCGGGCACAACGGCTAAGCTCTTTTTGCGTGCGAGTTTTCTACTAATCTCAAGCGATGTAGGGACGAGTGATGAGCTTTCAATGATAGAGACATGTGAATAATTGCCCAAGATGTTTAAAAAGGACTTTATCATTGCAAGCTCACCATTTTCCTCGCTTCGATGCAAAGCACGGGTACCTTTGATGCGCAGGGAACTGTGAAAGGGACTATTCAGAGAGTCTATCCGTTCATCGCATTAGTTTTTGGGCAACAATAGATGAACAACACGCTGGTTTTAAGTTACGTCTCATTGGATGCGGACATCACAACATTACTAGTACCGTTGGTCTATAACAAATACGCATCGGGGACTGAGCGACGATTTAATTCAAGTGCCACTACCATCAAATTTCTGACTTGCTCTTTTTTGGTTGGATTGAAAGACCTTTGATAGTGAAGTAAAATGTCACTTTCCTCTTTCAAATATCTTTTTTCCTTTAAAAGATATTGGAGTTTGAAAAATGGCGGCCATTTTTTTGATGACGTCATATTCTCAATACTTGAGCAGCCAAAGATAATGATAAGCTATATCKCAGCCCAATTTCAATCAAAATCAACCAAAATTGCTAGTATTACAGTTTTCTATCTGTTCTTCAAAATTAACTATAGAGATAAGTTGCCATAGCAACAGACTCGGTTCCAGGCCACCCCTACCTAATATTCAGGGTTTTTTTAATTTCTATCTTTACGAGAGATGGTATCGAATAAGGCTAGGTTGAAATATCTGTTATGGTCGTAGACACAAATTTAGGTAAGCAATTTTCTGCTCAAGGAAAGGCTAAAACTGTTGTTAGGGGCCTGGACACCAGTGTGTTGCATAGCAACCACAGTTTGTGCATTTCCATGTTTCATATTTTGAATACAAGTATACTGCAAAGTTTGAACATAGCTAATAAAGGGAAATGGTTGGGAAACTCTATTGTCATAGGTTATTGTTCACTTTTTTTCAAGCGTGACCGTGCACAATCCTTTGTTTTACCATTGTTTTACCATTGTTGGCAATGGCTGAGTGAACAGACCAAAATCTTTCTTTTCACTGCTAGTTCAAAATACTTAAAGATTTGAAAGAGATATTTGAATATTCCTTACAACAATCCCATACCCAAAGTTTATGTTTACTTATTTTGCAATTTCGGATGAGCATAAATCAAACATTGTGCACTGTCAAGACCGGTTCAACATTAAAAGCGAACAAAGACCTGTAACAATAGGTTTCCTAACCATTACCCTCTATTAACTATGGTTTGGATGACATTCATCAAATACTCAAAGAGATATACCGAAATCTATGTTGAAGGAACTTGTGAGTTGAGAATATGTCGTCATCAACCTCCTGATTAGCATAAACTCTTTTTTCCAATTAATCCAATATCTTATAATGTTACGCTAGCGTCATATAGGTCTATTTACCGTAATGAACAGCTCGCCAGAGCTTTCTTTGCAGTTGGCTATTTTCTCTTCACTGTATGTACTGTCACCAACATACTGGTCATACGCTTCTTCATATGTATCTTTTCCTTCTGCGCACCAATCGTTTACATGGCTTATGAAGGTTCCTGAAAAGGAGAAATGTAAATTGTCTGTCATGTAACGTCATATCCAGTGTCTAAAGAAATCCAAACGAATCATATTATTCCAGGTTTATTAGACACGTTTAGCAAGACGTTCTTCCTAGGTACCGCAAACCTCTAACTACAGTTCAACGTCAGGCGTTTTCCGTCAAACGTTTGACATTTAGCAAGGTGTCATATGAAGTTGTTACTGAAGAGCGAATGTCACAGGCGTGAATTCACGGGGTTGTGTAAATGTGTGTAAATGTGCATGTGTTTTGATTATTCAAATTAGTTAGTATTTAAGCGAGTGGGTGTGAAGTTTGAGGGAGTGTGAACCAGTTACCGGTAAAGACGTTTGTGTAGTTCCAAGAGTTTCAAGTTAACTGAGCAGCTACAACCACGTGTCATTCTCTCGAGAATAAGATTATTTATTTTAGTTGTATCCATATTTATGTGTCTTCTTGTGCGCAACCGTTAAACAAAGAAATGATACTCTAGGGAATGACACATGGTCTTGAGAATAAGATTCTTTGTTTTAGTTGTATCCATATTCATGTGTCTTCTCATGTGGAACCGTTAAACAAAGAAATGATACTCTAGGGAATGACACGTGGACGGAAATGGAAAAACAGTGGAATATAATACACTACTTTCCTTGGGGTATAACGCTAAAATATTGCGCATGTTAACTTCGCGCTGATTGGCCAATTGCCTCTCAAGATGCCGTCAGTAAGCTGATTGCTATCATTACCTTTCATTTGGAAGCAGCCCACGCTGTAGGTGATGAGTTTCAGGCTTTTTCTCAAGTTATCTTGAAGACCAAACAATTCATCGGGGAAATCCAACGATCCCGACAAGTAAGCCTTCAATAAAAAAATGTATGATATCTGATTATCCTGAGGTTGAATATAATAATAGTAATAATAATAATAATAATAATAATGATGATGATGATGATGATAATAATAGTAATAATAATAATAATAATAATAATGATGATGATGATGATGATAATAATAATAATAAAGCAATAATGATAATAATAATAATGATAATTATCATCATCATCACCGTCATCATAATAATTATAATGATAATATTAATATTAACAATAATAATAATAATGATAATATTAATAATAATCAAAGCCATAATCATGATGACCAATGATGGTGATGATGATGATCAATGATGATGATGCTAACACCTTGCTACACCTTGCTGGAGAGACCCAATAAGTTCGAAACAGCTGTCCACAGTTGCATTTTGACTTTTAGTTTGGAATCTATCATGTCGTTGCTGTTTTTATTTTTCAACCTTGCAGATCATTTATTTACCCGGATACTTTCGCTGATCTCGGTGGCTTCCGGTCGAGGTCTAGATATCTCTGTATCGTCTACCATCTCTTTAATCATTTTGAGCGCTTCTAATAAATCTGGATGCCAAGCAACACCATAGATTTCTTTCAGAGCCTAAACATGAAAACAAAAACCAAGCAATGTGAGAATCATCTTTGTACATGTATAAATGCAAGTTCCAATTTGCCATTATGTTCCCTTATTACTCATTTACTCAGGCTAAGCCTCGTACGTGTCTAAATATTCACAAATACCGACGGTAAAATAAAGAATGCACAATTTTAAATCAATTTCAAATCCTAGTCAAGCACAATGCACTGCGCAACGAAAACAATGCCATGTTATGCAATGCGTCATTTTCTCTGCCAGGTAAAATGGCGGTTTTGTAGGCGAAGTTTGGAAATCCAGTTCCATCGGTCTTGTTGTTCCTGCTAGATGTTTTACGACAATATATAATGGTACATAGTCACTAAAAGGTTTCCGCAGGATTTCATAAATTTTGGCAACGAATCTGAGGTAGATTTTGAAAGCAGCGATAGCTACCTTCTGTATGTATTGTATACACCAAAGTCCAAAATGGCGCACGGCTGAGTGAGTTACACGAAAACCAGGCATCCAGGGCCAAATACAAAGAAATAATATGTTGTCAATGCAAAGTATACACTTGTTCACATTTTCTGACTTTCTTTCCTTCTCACATGCAGAAACACAACAGTTTTGCGGCATCAAAGTAAAAGAAAATACTGTAAATTTGTGAATTTGACCTTGGATGCCTCGATTTCACCCGGTCGTGCGCCATTTTGGACTTAAGTGTATCACCACACCTCTTTTGTTCGTTCCACAGTAGACTTCGCGTCTTCTAGCAAATCTTTGTTTTTTTGAATAAACGTCTCCATTTCTTTAACAGCTTCTTTGGCCTTTCTGTCTTTTTCATCGCAACCACTGAACTTCTCAATCGTTTCCCAAATGTCCAAAGCTTAAAAAAGTTTTAAAATATCAATAATAACGACGAGGTTGTTGTGAGAAAATGAAATAACATTTTTGCTTATCATATTCAATGAACCCCTAAAATTCACTGATCTATTAAAATTAATAAAGAAATGCTTGTAGCTTTCAGAAAATCATGTCTGCAGTGGACACTGGTGAAAAACGCACTGCGCATGCGTTGGGAGAAAAAACAAAATGGCGGACGATGACAATTGATCACATCTAAAGGTAGGTTTTATTTTAACCGACAGTATTCGTTTTGAAAATTTTACAGGTATCTTTGAATTTCTTTACATAGAATCCAACCATGTGATTATCTGCAAATTAGCCGTGCTGGATGTCGACGTCGAGTGGCGGTATTTTCAAAGATTATTTTTGCTTTGTATAAACAAAAGTTTTTTTTGTATAAATCAGCAGTGTATCACAATCGAAATTATCTTGCTATTGCGAAAAGGACAACCTTAAGTTTTCAGTATTTTCTTAAGTTTTGCGATTTTGTAAAACAATCAAAACACCGGCATCAAAAATATAAGTTGCCCTTAGTTACGCTACGCCATCTCCGAGTGTGCGCAGTGCGTTTTTCACCAGTGTCTCAGTGATTTTACTCTACGTCATTCTATTCCCAGTGGTCGTATAGTTTCCCCATGCGGTGTGATGATAAAATATAAGAAAATGGTGATACAATTTACAGTAGAGTGCACGCACTAAAACCGTGAACATTAAATAGTACTAATTAGTACTATTTCATACAGAATCCTTTGTTTTCTATTGTTTAATTATCACTATTTAGTGCTAAAAATTAGTATTTGTTTCACGGATTTAGTGTGAGCACTCTACT